AGCTATTTGCAACATAAAGGTCAGATGCTGCTTCAGCCTGGTACCCATCTCTCAATTGATGAAATGATGGTATCATTTGCTGGTAGAAGCTTTCATACTATTCACATACCAAGCAAACCAATTCCAATAGGGTACAAAGTCATTGCTCTGTGTTGTATAGGGTATACAATAGATTGGATGCTTACCTCCCAAACTGAGTTCTTTTCGGAGCTAATAAAGCTGCCCGACCTCTCACCAACAAGTTCCGCTGTTGTCCAATTATGTCGCTCTCTTAATACCCAGCAATACAACCATATTGTCTATATGGATAATGGGTTTTCTACGATCCCACTGTTTCGAAAATTAAGAGAAAACAGAATTGGAGACTGCGGCACTACCAGGGTTAATAGAATTGAATACCCAGTCGGTCTTGAGTAACAAGCTCTTACTGAATGGAATTCAATTGATGGTTACTCTGTGGATGGGGTATTGTGCTTCCGATGGATGGACAACAATATAGTAAGAATACTTACTACGGTTCATCCATGGAATGCGGTTATACACAGCATGCATCGACGGCCTCGTACAACTAGCACAAATGCTACCCTAGTACGAAAGGTATTTGGAGATCAGGCCCACGCTGCCTTCTTTATTCCTACCACAATTGATGACTATAATCATCATATGGACGGGGTCGACATAGCGGATCAGTGCCGTGCAGGTAAGCAAAATAGAATTAAATTCTGGTCTCAGCACCACTAATGACTAGAATATAGCCTTTACAACACACCAGTGTGCACGGCAGAATTGGCTAGCCTTCTTTTATTTTTTCTTAAACGTATCAACTACGAACACCTATATTTTGATCAATCTTGCATGGAATACGGAGCTTCACCGACTGCTAGATGTAGGAGATTTGGCTGATCAAGATATACTCTCCCACCCACTTGCCTGCCCTATGCCAGCAGTAGAATTTCGCCGTCTATTGTTTAAAAAACTCTGTGACCAGACTCCTAGTAAGCAGGATAGGGGTAGAAAGGCTAGAAGAATACGCTATCGGCCAAGTACTCGCTATCAATCCAAAACACCACGCCTCTATTTTACAAAACATTACTACTTGCAAAAGCCTACATCCCAACCTTCATCCGACCATCACCTTAAGAAGATGGAAAAGGGTTGGAAGTGTTGTATCTGTCGGTATGACTTTCGGAATGGTCAGAAGCAAGGCTGCGCCCGCCCCAAGCTTACCCAGTATGAGTGTCGGGCCTGCTCACCACCAAGCGCTCTCTGTGCAAGTGACCAGCTGTGCTTTACCCGATGGCATAATTACACCCCCTCTGTCCCTCAGTAATAGCGTTTTTTAAAACAAATAAGACCTTAATTCCATGCGTTTACCAACTAAACTCGACTGTGTAGATATGAGAACTCTATAGTAGATTTGAGCACATATTCATTGATATTACCCGGATGCCAAGCTGCTAGCTTGGGTGCTAATGCATGAGAGAGATTTCGCCCACGTCTCAGTGAACCAGGGGATACTCATTACTGTGCACCGATTGAAGTATGATGTGATGCTCGAGTGCTTTTGTACAGTACAGCGCAGCACAGCACAATTCCCGAACATTGCAGGGTATCAGGACTCTCGGAACTTTCCCTTTTGCACCTCTCGAGGTGGGGGTATTGTACTACAAGTATGATACTGATTGCTCATAGTGTGCCCCGCAATCGGGCTTGTCCAGAGGACGCGGTGGCATGGATTTGATGGGGTTGTGTGGGAGGTTTACAGGATGATTGTATTATCTGCGGTGAAAGTGTGCAGTAGGAAGTACAGTACTCGAGTATATTTAAGTGGGGGCGGTAATTGTTCTTTGTTTTTCGTCTTATTTTTTTTTATTTTTATTTTTTTCTCGGATACCGGTAATATGATATGCTGGGTTGGGGGGCACTTCCTTGATTGGGTTGGGGAGTGTGATCCTATTGTGCGGAAAGTGCTTATTGAAAGGAAGAGGAGAAAAAAAGGGAAAAAAAATGCAAGGCACAGGTCTATGAAATACAGCTTCCAGGCCTTCCAAACGCCATTTTTCCCTCATGTGTCATTTGTTCCTGAATAAGGGCTTCCCTAGAGAACCTCCTGCGCGTCATCAAGATAGAGTAGCGCGGGTTGAGCTGAGCAGTACTCCAGTAGGAGCAATAACCGCGGACACATTACATGCCCGAACAATAGTCTCTAAGTCACGAACCAGATGGAAGATAGTGAAAAAAGAAACAAAGGAAGAATCAAGCCAATTCCAGCTCCTCGCCGCAGGACAGAACCGTATCCCTAAGCCTCTTATCGCCAGCCCAGTCCACCCCGCTCCCCACTATAATCGCCTGCACGGCATTTCTCATGACCTCCCATTTGATCTTCGTTTCCCAGAGCACCACCTGAGCATCTCTATATCCCTGGTCATCTCGTGCCACTACTTCTCTCGTCTTCTTCTGTTTCTCGCTGAGCTTGAGCAGTCTCGCGGCCAATTGCCTGTTGAGAACTTGGGCATTCGTGTTAGATGCTTGTAGTTTCGACAGTGTCTCTCGGCTGGCACCGAGGACGTGTGAGAGGTTGGCGTGCGTAACTGAGAGGACGTCTCGGCGGAGGATGAGCGGTGATAAAGCGCTAGTAGATTAAACTAGATTTCAGTCCAGAGCACAAAGCGGGTGGGAGTCATATCTCGCTACAGCAGTGAAGGGGGAAGAGAGGGCATTACCGTTCCTTCGCCGTGCTTCTAGAGCTCAAGTGGACCGCTCGAAGCACTGGCTGTGTAGCCAATGTCGTCTCGACAATTTTTCCTTTCATCACTGAATTCGCCCTACTCCCCAACAGCTCCGCTTCCGTGATGCGGAGCCGGTCCTCGATCGAAAGGTCGTCATCTGCGTCTTGCATGATCCCAAACGCTTGTTAGACATAGAACCAATCATCGAATGCTAGGGTGTGTGTGTGGGAAAAAAAGTAGGAAGGAAGGGAGGGGGTAATGCAAGAAAGAAGTGAAGAAAGAGGGGGGGAAAGAAAAGGGGGGGGAAGAAAAAACCACCTTCAATCCCAACCCCGGACATCTCTGCTTCGAGTATCCGCCTCTCGAGACATACCTTCTCGAGCTTGTCATAGAGGCCCAAGAGGTGCTCCTCTTTCTCGTCGGATAGGCAGGTCTCAGGCTTTACGGATAATTTGGCGAATCCTACGGGGTGGGCTTGCGTTGAGAAGAGAAGGCTCAGACACGTCGTCTGTAGCTGTTGTAAGGTGGCCATGGTGGTCCCGCTTGTTCGTCCAGCATGGGGGTGCTGGTACTGATGCGGCAGTAAGTTAGTAGAGGAAAGGGCCAGCGGTAGTATGTGGTACAAGGGATCTAGAACACATGCTGGGATAAAAGAAGGTAACGCGTTGTTTACCATTTTCTGCTTAAAACCGTACTCAGTTATACTCGCTGAGGAAGGATTTATCAGTCCTGCCTAATTGTGGAACAAGGTTTTCAACCCCATTGAAGTGCGATGATTCTTTGGCCAGGCTACAGTAAACTCTGTATGATACTCGAGTAAACTTTGGGTACGAGTACTCTAGTAAACTCGACCCGCCACTATTCTCTGTACGCTACTCGAGTATGGTACCATCACTACCATGAAAAGTATAGCGGCGGGTCGAGTATTGCACTGCAATCTACCGGTACTCAGAGTTTATTCGAGTACCAGTACAGTGCTCAAGTACAGTATCGTAGGTGGGTCCGAGGGAACAAGCGAGAGGAATGGTTTGCATCTTACGTCTTTTTCCCATAGGGCCTCCTGTTGGTCAATCGCTCATATTTGGTCTCATTCGTCCGCTCTCTACCGGTATGTGACTTACCTCTCGGGCCGTAGCCTCGCAACCCTTGTCCCAGTACTGTACTCGAGCACAGTACCCTCGAGCACAGTACCGGTATCGTACCCTACTGGGATCCTCCTATGCCCACACCACCAACCACCGGTCCCCTCGTATCATATCCCTCTTTCTTCAGGTACCGGCGTGAGATAAATCCAGACTCACCGCAACCATCAAGCATATATTATGGTAATCTATCTCTATATCTTCGTAAACCCTACTCGTACGTGGATACAATACCGTACTCACAATCCTTACACAATAACATATAATGCGCCCTCCAGCGGCATTAAGCCCCCCCCCAACCAATTCACAACTAGTACGGCAACTTACTTGTAGTCCACAGGCGACCCCCCCCCCCATGTTGCCTATAGTACTGGTCGTACCCAAATGTTTATGGGTAAACTTGAAACTCCGTTCTCCCCGTGAATTGAGATGCGAATACCATCTCTCCTTGCATGAGCCAGTCATCATTTAGGAAATACTTTTCTAACACGGACTAAATAGCGTTCCATTATGTCTATCTACCGGTTTTGTACCAGTATTCAATGGCCTATCAGTACAAAAAAGTCATGAAATCGCCAGGTAGCCTGCACCTAATCCCTCAACCATCCTGAACCCTTGCCATTGAAAAAAAAAAAGAAAAAAGAAAAGGAAGGAAGGAAGGAAAGCCACCGCATCAGTTGAGAGGAGGAATGACCAACCGGCCCCCTCTCCTTCTCCCTCTTCCGATACTGAAAACCAGCAACAAGAAAATTTAATATTCAAAATTACACAATAAAAGGGCCGCCCACTTTCCATGACACCCAAAGGAAAACCATCATTAGTACCATAATCCAATACGCAATATAACGAATATCCTTTCGACCCCCTTTGAGGTCAAGGAACGAAATTTGTGTTCCATGACATCCTCCTTTTGAAATTCAGGCACACGATGGCCAAAATCCGGGAGAGAAGTTGGATAGAAAATAGAATCAGCAAACGACAGGTATAATTTAGAGGCGCGAAGAATGGAAGGAAATAATGGAAATTACGGCTGAGACCTCCATCATCAAAAAGCGGAACCTTTGTCAACAGAAAAGCTTTTATCCTATCGATATACAGTAACGGCTCGCTACTGGATCGACTGAGCTTGTCACCGGGAATGGGCCGAGGCGCCATCCGTCAAACCTGCGCCCTGAGTGGCATCAACACCCTCATCACGGCCATCTCTGTCCGACCGCCTCCAGCTCCCTTTAAGGGCAGTCGACTTTCCCCAACTCCTGCGCCGATTCTGCTCACGCAATGTGTTTCTATTGGCAACTGAACTAATTGGCGTCGGGTGTTCTACAGGGTTCGGTGGGGAAACAATGTATTCCCCATCGCCCGATTTTGGTCTGAGGTCCTCCTTTAGGGCACCTCGGAGATTGCTCTCGCCCGCAGAACTTATTCCATTCTTTCCTCTAACTTTCCCCGGAAGCCCCTCGCCGGAAATCATCCGCCCCAGAGTGGAGAGAGAAGTTACCGCCCTTTCCACTTCGGACTTTGGATTCGATGTTTTCGGCCCGTCAAGGCAGCGACGTTTCTGTTTCTTATCGATTGAGCTATTGCCACCAAGAGCCGGAGGAAACTCCTCTCCAACACAATGGTGGAGGGAAGTGTTTTTCATTGAAGGCAAGCTTGGAGATTCACTTAAGGGAGCCCCCTGAGCTTTTTCATGGGATCCACCATTAGCTATACTATCACTCTCTTCTGTGGACTTCGATTTGTTGCTTCTGCGCCGGTTTCGTCGTCGTTTCTTCTTGGGTTCGGGTAGGAGTCCGCCGCGGTACCCCGTTGGAGACATGGGAGAATTCTCGGTGTCAACAGCACATTGATTACCCCCATCATTACCGTTTGGCATAGCAATGCAGCTTTTTGGGGCTTCTGATGTACCCGGACCCTTCTCTTTCACCGGTAACATCTGAGATGCTCTCCTTTCCTCCATTTCTTTCACTTTTGCTTCTGAAAACTTTAAAACCACACCTATCTTCTCCTGAAGAGCCTGGATCCTATCCTCCCCAACACCATTCTGATCATGCACATCACCCCCGTTCCCTGCCTCTCCATTCCCAGATTGGTCACTAAAAGGTATCACGTCAGTCAGTGCATTCATCATAACCTCATTCTTTGACTCTCTTGATACTAAAGGACAGCCAGTGCTATTGCCAACTGGGGCGCCGTCCGAGGAGATGCTCTGGTGGGCGTATCCATTGGAAGTGGGTTCATTGGGTATAAATTCTTGGGCATCAGGTTTCAGAGATGACGGTGTCCTGGGGGTGTCCTGGCGCGGCAACTGCATGTGCTGCTTTTCTGGATTTTTGACTGATCCGAAATTTCTCAATATTCCATGGGTACTTGAGACTCTAGCCTCACCCTGAATATCAGACCCTGGCAACTCAGCAGCGAAGGCAACAAAATTCTGGCGGTTGCTGAGCGATTTCGAAATATTATCTTTGTCAAGACCACTCTGTGAATTCGACAGACCCTCTCCATTTTCCGGAACCAGAATTGGAATATAAAAATCATTGGCCGCAAGGTTGGCACCTTCTGTTTTGGGTTTTGGGTGGTTGTCAAGGTTGGGGTTTTGGTGGGACATTGTGCCCAACTCCCCCGATACTTTCTTGAGTTCCTGCTCTCGGGATATAGGACTAAGATCATTGACATAATTTAACTCCGTCGGCCTTCCCGGAGAAGACTTCGGTTGCTCATTTTTGAGTTGCTTCGACCACAGCTGGAAGTACTTGCCCCCAGCGCTGATGAGCTCTTCATGACTGCCCTTTTCAACAATTTCGCCATCCTTGATCACAATTATGAGATTCGCGTTCATGATTGTCGAGAGTCGGTGACTATGAGGATCAGCAGTGTTCAAAAACCACAAAATCTTCATTGAACCGAATAGCAAACAAGGACGGAAACATACGCAATAACAAACATCGTACGGTTGGATGCGAGCTCGCGAAACGCGCGTTGTATCGAGCGCTCTGTTTCCATATCAACCATACTAGTCGCTTCGTCCAGTAAAACTATCTTCGGATTCTTTAGAATTGCTCTTGCGATAGCAATCTTTCACAAAGTTAGTCTTCTCCGGGTCACAGGTGTGGGGTGGTACTACCCTCTGAAGTTCACCGCCCGAGAGCTTCACACCATGCTCTCCAACCTTTGTCAAATAGCCGTCTGGAAAGCCCAGAATCTTATTGTGGATAGCTGCTGCGCGACAGGCAGCATAAACCTCTGTGGAAATGGTGAGCAAAAAAGCTAAAGAGGGAAAAACATTCCCACATAAAGGCACCACACATACGTTCATCAGTGGCATCGAAATTTGCATACTTGAGGTTCATCATCAATGTGTCGTTGAAGAGTTGGGGGTCCTATGTTGAACGAGTGATGAGCAGATGCTTAGAATTAGTTTCGAATTCTGGAACCATATCATACTTGAGGAACAACGCCCATATTTTCTCTCAAACTCCACAGAGTGACATCTCTGATATCCTGGTCGTCGATCGTTATGGACCCAGAATTAACGTCAAAAAACCTGAATAACAACTTCAGACATGTAGTTTTGCCTCCGCCAGTCTCTCCTACCAGCGCTACTGTCGAGCCACCAGGTACTCTAAAACTCATATTGTTAATAGCAGGCTTCCTAGGGTCGTATGCGAAGCAGACGTCATTAAATTCAATCTCTCCAGATTTAAGCTGGAATTCTTGCGCACCGGGTTTATCGACGACAGAAGGCTTCCTCTGGAAAAGCTCGAGCAGGCGCTCTGCATCCAACATTTGGGTTTGGATCTTACGATAAAAGTTGGCGAAGAATGCTAATGGGGAGCCAAGCTGGGCCCAGTACGAGAGCAAGGTAACGAAACTTCCCACAGGTTTGTTTCCCCTCGAAACCTCATAAACCGCGAGAAAACTGGCGCCTAGCAGACCAACCGTAAATATAAGGCTTTGACTAACTCCCAGAAATGTAATGCCCAGAACATAGTTAAGCTCGGCTTTTTGGTAATTCTTAATAGCTGAAACGATTACCCGTTAGTATACCTGCAGGACCTCTGAGCGCGGGGGAACAGAGCGGTATACCTCCCCAATATCGGTCTTGTTCATACTCAATGCGGTTGAAGTACTAATCTGCCGTTAGCCCATCGAATACTAACACGCGCTTGTTCACGGATTCCAGTTGCCCTTACGCTCACTGTTGTCCAACTCGACATGGTCTCGCACATAACGTTTGCCTCTTCAATCCTCGCCTATAGGGAATTCATAATTGTCAGCTACCAGCCCGAGAACAGGAATACATTGTAAGCACCCACCGTGTTGTAATCTCTCCTAATCTGGTTTTTCGTAGCTCCCAATTTTGCGGTAGCATAGAGATAAACAATCGACACAACAGCTACAATCAACGCCATGTAGGCATTAAACATATAATAAAAGTATGCGAACGCAATGCAGAGATCTGCAAGCATAGGTAAGACGGCAAATAATACAGATTCAATAAAGCCGTTAACTGAGCGCCCTTGCCTGACCGAACTATATATCTCCACACTTTTCTTATTGGTGTGAAAATCGTGAGAGAGCGACATAACATGATTATACGCGGCAGTGGTGATTGAGCGGCTGGCGTATTGGTCCACTGGTATCCAAAGATATCTGTGGAGAGCAGGAATTCCAGAACCAGAATCCAACCAACGGAAAATAACATAGATGGAAACCTGCAACCACGGTATGGCTCCTAAATCCGTCAGCTTTGGCTATCCGCAACCAGAACCCATAACTACCATTTCCTATACTCAAGGAATTCGTTACAACACCAAGTTGATGGGGCACTAGGGCGTTTAGGCCACGCTCAGCTAGAAGACAGAACGCAACCATAACCATAGATGCCTGGAGCCTTCTGTCCTCACTCGGCCAAAGATATTTCCAAAGTATCTTTTTATATACAGATCAGCCCTAGCACGTTTATAGGTTGTAGTTCAAGCAACTTACAGAGAAAGACTTGGCATAAACCCACCAATTACCGCTCTCTTCGATCTTCTTCATCATTCTTGCGTTCGCCTCTGTGTTTGCCGCGTTTTCTGGGGTATTATTATTACCGCCACCAGTAGCCCCGTAAGAGGTACCGTTGGATGTTTCATTCACCGCATTACTTGCAGTCAATAGCCCAGCTGATTCCTCGTCTTCGCAGAAGCTCTTCTGGTTGTCACTCCGTTGGAAGCCCCAGTATGAAGCGGGCAATGCAAACAGAAAGAAAACCCTAATTATCTCGACAGAGATCTTAGCCTTACGGAACCCACTTTTCTGGCCTGGGTCGTCGTTCGGGAGCGCTAGAAGGCACAATTCGGCAATCAAAGATAGGATCCATGACCCATAGTAGGGGTACCAGACAGGGCTATTGTTGTCAACCAGGCACAGCTCAATCACACCCCAAATCACAACTGAAGAAAGAACATAGAGCTGCGAAATGGGCAAGTCAGCAATCGCCAACACACACCACGGGGTGTGAAATTTATAGCATACAATACTATCTTCAGGACTGAAATAGTCTTTCTGCACAAGAGATTGGGCAAGTATTAATATTGCTTCCAGTATCTGTGCACACAACGACCAGATCGTTAGCCACAACAAACCCATCCACAGAGGAAGCTTTCAAGAACACCGAAGTTTGACCCACATAGGTTGCAATTGCAGCAGTTTGGAGAAACAACATCAAATTTCTTCGAATTACTCCCTTGGAAGGCTTCAGGTTCTGCAGAGTGCAACAAGTGATTGTTTGCAGACTAACGAAGAAGATAAGAAGGAGTGGAGGATAAACATAATGGATAGCTCGATAGGCTTTTAGGAACGCCTCCGGAGTATCTGACATCCTGGAGATGTGCCAATTGAGCTCCGTGCCTTAGTATTATCCTGTTCCTTACGGGATGGATGCCGAAACACAAGCAGGAGATGACGTTGAAGTGTACTCGAAAATTAAATGCAATGGGATCAAGAAATTTGAAGGGAGGAATGGAGAGGGGAGCAAGGGCTCTGGGAGGTGGCGATGGACAAGAAGGGAAACGGGGAGGGGGAGGGGGAGGAAGAGATAGTAACTGCTCCGCAAAGATAAAAGAAGGGCAGAGAAGAGTCAAGGGAATTAGTTGAGGCTCTTCCGGAGGGGTGGCACAGACCACAGCAAAAAAAACAAGCGAGGGTGGCGATCAAATCGATTTGCGTTCGGCCGCGAGGCGGGAAGGCAAAGAGCGGGATAATTGGGACGAAGTACAGTATGTACTCGAGTATGGAGGGAGAAAGAGATATTAGGGTTGAGGACGGTGTAGTGTAACACAGCACGGCAGGTAGATAGTACTGTAGCGATAGCCGCTAGCCAGGTACTCGAGTACAAAAAAAATAAAAATAAAATAGCTTCACTGGTCGTCGCAATGAGGGTCCGGCAGGAAGATTATTGAGGCTGAAATTCTAATTGACGCATAAGGTAATCCCAAACTGACCTCCTAATGTAAGGAAAGACCCTCGCCGCTCGACTGTGGATATTAAATACTTACCTCTTGCTTAATTCTTGTGCCTTGAGAAACAGTTCAGCAAGTCTTCTTATCAGAACAGTCTGAGAGCGAAACCATGACACCCGAAGACCGCCCCCTTCAATGCACAAATAATTGTTGCCACGCTACGTCTCCGATAAATTTCTATGCGGTATAATAGATTGGAAGTGTCCAAATTTTCACGCTGTTGTCTCTTTTGCTTCTCCTTCTACCTCTAGATGTGTGACTACCGGCCGATAGGCAACCTTGCGAAGATATAGAACAAGAGGGAAGCAGCCAGCAATGAATCGAGGCAATGTAAAGAACCGAGTTCACCGGCTACTGTGAGATATCTTGCTTTTCCCCCTCCCCTTATGCTCCTCTTTTTCCCCGTTTCCGTATCTTTTCTCCCCCTCAGATGTTTGCACCGGCGATGACAAAAGAATGTAGGCTGGTGGTAAACCTTTGCAGACTCAATGCGACCATGTACTGTACTCGAATACTTTCTGTGATAAGCCCACGTCAGTTAGCTCCATATCAAAGTGGGAAACTTGGGAAGCGGAGGGAGAGGTTGTGGAACATTTCCCTAGCATTTTCAATTGAGAGGGACGGAAATCTTTCGAAATACAGCATGTAGTTGTCGTGGGAAAGGTCTAAGGATGAGAGGGAAAGCGGCCAACTAGTGTACTGGTATGCTGGCGCCGTCTGAGCGAAAATTTTAGGATGTCGCGGGCCACCAGATGAGTAGAATGCAAGGTTTACAGTAACTCCGCTAGAGCAGATCCTTGTATAGCGCACAGACAACCCTTACACTCGCTTTTCGCCTGTTACCTTCCTTTTTCCCTTGGGTGCACATTTCTCTTGGGATGGGCGTAAAGTACTGTGCGGTACCCCTCGAGTAAGAGTACTCGAATATATCTCTCATTCGGAGGGACAGTGAGGAAAGAGATAGAAACACTAAAATAACTCCCCATCACAGACTCAAGTCTACCTCCACTATGACTACGTCTGCGTCCATCTACTAGTACACACCTTAATTACAGTATACCCTTTGAACACCTCCCCATCCCCCCCTACTTAAATTTGTCCTTACACGCACACATGCACACAAACATACATACAAGCATTCTCAATGTGCGTTAAATCAATTCTTAAGACCCTCATATTCTCTCCTTTCTCCGGCCCTTAATCTTGCCTTCCCCTCCTTCCCCCTTCCCCTCTCGCTTTTACTATCGGTACATGAGCTCCACTTTACCCTCCCCGTCCCTGATCCTATCTCCTTCATCCTGCCAGCGTGAACAGCACTGCGTCTTTGACATGGAGCGTGAATTATTTAGGGTACGCCAATGGCACACATACGTTCCAAAATCTGACAACGCGCAAAGACAGAGAGTAGATCAAAGATCATGATCTAGGTGCAACTCTCAGTTACATGGCACGCTCATAACCTATCATCCACAAGGGATACTTTGGTGCATACAAATTTTATTTTCTACATCGAGATCGCCGCATCACTCCATCCCTTCGCCGGGATCACTATTTCCGTTGTCTGTCTTATTGCTGGTGCCGGGTAGACACTTTCTTAGCTATCTAGGCATCTAGGCACAATTGGCAAAGCTAAAATTTCATAGCATTCCTTACCATAGGTAAGCCGGGCACAGTACTCCTCCGTGAATACAGAGTCGAACACTCATTACCTTTCCCCGCTTTTCATAATGGGCGGATTACTCTATATAAAGCATATATCCACGCTCTTCTTAAGGGTTAAGGGAAGTGATCTCTGGCCAAAACTCTCATCAAAATGGTGAAATGTAGAGCAGAGAATAATTCCTCCAGCAAACGATCATCCCGCTTTTTGACTTGCTGAGCTTCATCCATAGGGTGTGTGTGATATTTCACCGATAAATATGCATTGGCGCCGTAACCTTATGCTCAGCTTCGACAACCCCGGAGTTGGAAGCAGCTTGATACCAGGCTCGTGGGTATTGTGAGAGGCTACTGATTAGCGGAGATATTTGCACTCGGAGGAAACACCAGGCAAGGGTCTACCGCCTGTTTTTTTCACTTGGACGACGAGTGGAGCCCTCCCGCCTCGCATCCAATTTCGCCCTATATGATATGGGATGTTTCACCGCAATAAAACAAAGAGGGACCCAAAACACGCTAATGCTGGCGAGATTCTCTTGGCATCTATAACACAGATAATGTGGTATCATAGGGCCAACGTGATAAATCGGTTGGCGTGATAAAAGGATAGGTTGAAGGCCCAAGACTTCTGACGCTGGATACAGAGGTTCAAACAATATCCAACAAGGGCACTAGGAGAAAATCTGTGACTGTTTTTTTCTCTCCCCTTTTTTGTTTCTTTTGAGAGGACAGAATCCCTTGAGGGGCCTGATCTTGAAGGATTTAACCATGGAAGGCCCTCTGGTCTGCGATAGTAGCACACGCTGCCAAAGCACGGTGCTAGAGCACCGTGCTGCGAAGGCGGAGTTTAATACTAGTACGACAAGAGCTATTGGCTCGCCTTTGCTTGTTAGAGGGAAATTTATGAGCAACGCTCTAAGAAACCGGCTACAAGGGAACCGTGCCACACCACTACCGGGTTATACACAGCTACACATTGGATTACCCTACTCACTCAATAGAGTCCTTTGGAGGGAAATATTTGGGTTTTAAGACTCAAAATATTTTATGCGTGCAGCTGATCCCAGCGTATCCTGGCCCTGCACGGGGATAGCAAAATCTTCGATTTCATACAGGGATCATGATTACAATCGCCCACAGTAGAGTCAGACTACCCGATGCTGTTGGATAGGTGTTGGTCGAGTGAGAAGCTGTGAAGTGGCTATTGAACCCGTATGATTGGGGAGAACCGGTAATTTCGCACCCTATGCACTCGAGTATTGCACTTGTACCGCACGGATACTATCAACCCTCCAAATACTCGTACATAGAGACACCCGCAGAGCACATAGCAGCTAGTAGCGATACCGTACCGAGGAATTTAGTATGCAGCGTACTATGGAACTGCTCGAGTATGCTAATATACCAGCATTAGCCAGACAAGTCATCTCCAGTGACAAAAAAGCCTATTGGTGGTATAAGTTGCATTCGAGCAGTAGGGGCATGTGGCAGCTCTGCCAAGTCATGCATGTTTTAGATGGTGTTCCGAGTTGTTGGTTCAGCTACGACACAGGAACCAATGCATAACTTTTATCCGTATGGCTCTTGCGACTAATCCAACCCCCGCAACCACGAATTCAGAGCGTTCTCTCCATGAACTGTTACGCTGAAAAATAATTTTTACCACCGATGGTCCAATATTCTTTTCCTCAAAAAATAATAAATTTCGCTTTATGGATTGACGTGGTTTTTCCAATAATTTACCCATATTCCCTGAAGGTGCACATTCCGAAGGTCCCTGAGTTGGAACTAATTCAATGCAATGGGCAGAAGTTCAGCCGCGACGTTACTGTTTGGGATCGTCGTGCATTGGCAGAGCTAACCCTACGATTCTTGCAGATCCTCTCGCTTTTTTGCTCTGTCACAGCAGTTGTGCGATATACTTGTACAAGTACTCGAGTAATACCTCACGTACGGACAGTAAGAATTGGCACTCGCGCGGCAGGAGGTTGGAGTTGCCTCTACTGGTAATGTCCGACACTGTTTTGTCTCTTTCGGGGCTGAGGGGGTAAGTTTTCGCAGTGCTTTCAACCCCCTACCCAAGAGAAGGAATTTTGGACGTCTTAGCTGGAGCACCAATAATTCCAGTTCCTAGGGTAGTTTATGGGTCAGGGCCGTGGGGCCGCACACGGGTAGGAAGAGAGCATTTACATATTTATTTTTGAATGGCCTCAACCTCGAATCAATACGAGGCTGGTTCAAACTGAATTCTGAGGTCAGTGGCCCCTGCAACCCTACATGTCTCACACATTGAGAGCGAAGGTGAGACAACGTGAGAGCCCTCAACGAGAATCGCTCCGGGTTGTGGAAGTTCCCTGGCTGAATGATGCAGCTTCAGCGCTAATTAAGTTTGCAACTCATGATTTGTTCTGATTCCAAACTCTAGCTTTTAGGCCTTATCTGAAGATCTAAATGGAAATTCCGATGAGTTATCCTTCATTAGCAGCAGAAGAAACGCCTGGCATATGGGATGTACGTGCATGATAGGCATTGGGCCCAGCTACTACCTACCACACGCACTCGAGTATAATCCCAGAGCGGGAAGCAGGGGACACCCGTCGACTATTGTGTGCTGTACTCGAGCGCTGAGAAACGGAGAACAGGGAGGGATATTGGGGCTTATCAACGACGTCTTGCGTTTTTAGTGGCTGTCAAACGAGGC